CGATAAACTGCTATTATAGAGGACAGGGGTATGGGTATTTTCCGCAAGGTCTCTCTGACACTTCGACAAAGTTGGAAAATAATGTGGAACCACCATCACATCTTACTGATTCCATTATCTTCTTTCTCCAATTTTTCTTAATTGCATGCTCCTCTCCAATTCGTTACACTACTAATAATTTTACTTTTACCACCCATTCAGACGCCCAATCAAACAACACCCCGAGCACTGACTCCAATATGGACACATTTTGTCACGCAGGACCTAATTACATGGGTCACCGAGACAACCTTACCACAACAGGCTACGTGGAATCAGCCTTGACTGATTGTATCATTGGAATTCACGAAACATCCACTCAGTATAAGGATCTAGCAGGCTTTGGAGAATCGAGTCGCCGACAGTTAAATGCCAATTTTCAAAGCGTTGCCACTAACTCTACAGATTGTTCTCCAGCGTCCATTATGCCTCCCTGTACCGTTGCTCTCTCCATTCCCATCCAACCCGTCTTCTCAGTTCCTGCCTCAGGAATAGGTAATGATTTCCTCCTAGGCAACTTTATGCTTCAATAAATTTTATAGAATTTTTTAGTTTTAATCTTCTACTAATCTAATGGTTGTTATTATGTCTAATAGCGAAATAATTGCTTTTTTAGCTTTTTGAATTGTTGCATTTCTCATTATTCCAAAGAAGGCTCAAGGCGCCGAATGGGTTGATTTCTTGTAAATGATGACACAAGTTAATTTACCTTTTTTCTATTTAAAATTTAACATTACTATGTAGCACATAGTGTGGTTTCATAACATTTCTTATTTAACACTAAAAAATATAAGATGAGAAGTCCTTGGTATGACCTCAGCTTCATTTCGATGTATTGAAAACGATGCCAGCCCCCTGAAAAAAAAAATAATTGCATGTTGCTAATTCTAATTAATTTGGGATATGTTCAATGTTAATAAAATAATATTTGCGTAAAGAATTATATTTTTTAATAGCAATTCTGTGGGGCAAGATTTTCTCTGCAATCTTTTTATACCAAATGTTATTATTACATTTTTAGCAAGGTATTTTTATTTTTAGTTTTATAAGTAGTATTTACGACTACCAGATCAAATAGTTCAGATGTATTTATCTTATTTCGTTTAAGGTGATGATATGAGTGTGCCTTAAGTTTAATTTGAATTTCACACAGCCTAATCCAGGGTGAACTGCGGTTTCAAACTCGTCTATCTTTTAGCATCTCATGTCATCGTGAGAAAACTTCAATTTTAATAGAAATTATATTGATTTAGAACCTTGAATTTTTTGATAAGAATTCGCAGGTATAATATTCTTTCTGCATTTTTTATATACTAATATTAGTTCTAAACTTTTGCAAAGTATTAATGCCCCTGTGATTTCTCTTTATGGGGCTAAGTTTACCCGTTGCGCCATCACGATCACTTATCCATTTTAGAATGTTTTTTTAATAATTTCTTCAATGAATCTAATTTTTTTTACTAACTTTAGATTCTATTTAATTTAAATTTTATATTAGGGCATGCTATCTCTATTTGCTTATATTTTTATATCAATTTTGCTGTTTTGGCGGCTACTTCTCCCACTCGATAGCACTAATTTTTTATTAAGTTTACGAGAAAGAACGATCTATTATATACGTAAATATGGAAACCAAGACGATGTGGCCTACTGTTTGATCACATTCTCCTTTAGCTTTATATTGTTGGTTTAACCTCGTATTCGGAACTTGATCGGAGCGTCAAAGAGACCTTGTAAAACGTACCTAGTCCTGTGTCTTCTGCCATTGTATTAGTGATGTCCAACATCGGAGCATTGACTTGATACGTTCTTAACCGTTTCGCCAGCATTTTAGTCTTATCGTCTGGTAGCTGCCATTGTCAACACAGAGTTACAACTTACCAATATGGCAAGTGGAGACAATCCCCTTGACCAATTTTCTGTTATATATTATATTATTTCTATTTCTATTCTTTTTTCTTTTATAAAATCTCTCTTTGTATCATAGTCTATCCCCATCCTGGCACAAGCTTCTGAGACTTATTAATGGCTTGTCTTTACCTCTTGCTAATTCACCTTTAAAATATGCTTTTTTTGCACCCTTATTTTAAACTTACCTATGATTTTGCCTTCCCGCTTTCCTTATCAGCGCCGCCTGATATATTCAGATCTCCTCTTCTGTTTTTACTACCAATCAGCTTTACATTTTCACCATAAGCCCTTTGAATTTAGGATCGCATTTCTTCATTCATACTTCAAGCTCTTGCTCTTTATTTTCAGCATTGGGGCTCCAGGCGCCAGCTTCTCAAGTGGCAGCAAACTTGGCCGTAAGCCCAGCCGTCTCGACTAGCACCTGTCAAAGCTGCCTCCTCTCATATGGATTATCTCGAACTTGCCCACCCCTCGAGACTGGTCGCATCATCTACCCAGATCCGCTAGTCCGCTATGATCCATATCTTCTCGACGATCCCGAAATGATGGTAGCAGCAAAAAAGCGCGTGCTAAACCTCCCGTTCTACCTGGTCAGCTTCAGCTATCTGTCGCTCCATCTCTTTCAATCTTTTACTTATTATCGATTAAAAAGAAAATTTATAAGACTTAACGATATTAATGCCCCTATATTGAATCCGGTTTGGTTGCTGATAGAAACTGTGGTCCGCATTGGGTGAGATAGCCTTTTGGGAGACAATCATCCTGAGGCCTACTCATCTAATTGTGCAAGACCTCAACTATCAATCTTTAAATCTCCTAAGTGACCTAGGCTTATTAAGTTTTGATTTAAGACAAAGACTACTAACCTTCTACGCCTCTTAATATAGTTTCCATATATTTTCTCAAAATCGAATAGGGAAGATGAATTTTCATGTGTTACTCAAAAAATCAACATTAGTACAGTGACTAAGTTTTTGTCACCACACCTACATGTAAATAGTAAGTACTAATTAAGCATTTGATATTTAGTTTGGGGACTACATTTGCGAGCCTTCAGTTAAATTAAGATTAAAATGTCATTGATTCTGGCACTCATATTTCAAGCTGTTGTATTAATGAATATGGTTTACTTATCGTCATTTGACAAGGCTCATCACGACTTTTATGAAGCTAACTTTCCAAAAGTAGACTGGCAAAAGGGATAGGATAATGAGTAAGGCAAGCAGCAAAGTATCCTCGCTCTTCGAAATCTTTTCAGCTTTATGAATGGTTTTACTCCTCATATCCACCTGCATTTTTACTTCCTGGACTATAACTCAACCGCCTATTCTCGCATACTCTGTAGCCGTGCGAAGCGTAGCGATACTTGGCTTTTACTAGTGCGAGGGTGCCCTTCTCATTGTTACTCGCAATCAAGAGTGAATATCTGGAAGGTGTGATCATGAAGCCTTATGCTTAAACTGACTGTCATCTAAAATTAACAAATTATCAGAGAGTGCTAGACATGTTTTTCTTTATATTTTAGAGGTTTTAGAAAATAGTCGGCATGAGCAGAAATCATGTTTAAAGAATTTAGAAAATTTAATCTGTTTCTCTACTGAGGCTAATTAGTGTGACTTCAATCTAGTTTAAATCATTTATTTATTTTGTTTATCTCTTCTTCAATCACACTTATCTCCTAATCTATATTTTATAGTTAAGACTTATTTGCACTCAAATGGCCTATTATTTTGTATCTAATAGATGAGAAGGTGCTACAAAGGTGATGAAAATCCTCGAATGTATCCTACTTCTATACATTTCTAATTCTGGTATTAATTGGAAGAAAATCATGTCTTTAATATTTTGCTCATATCTTAAGATAAACATTTTTTACTCACTTTCTGTCGCATAAGTTGATTACGGATGGATAGTTGAATTTTCCCATAATGATGGAATTTTAAGCCCACTCTGGAATTAGACAAGAGTGTTTTGGTCATTGATGCAGAGGCTAATTTCAAGATGTATTTTGGTAGGAAACTAGCATCTATTAGTTTTCTTCTGGCATTTCCTTTTAACCATGGTTACATAAATAGTATCATGAGTTTACGCTCAATGATTATTAAGATAATAGGGCTTGCAGAAAGAAGTCATTTGATTAGAAGCCTTGCGATGTCGTTGATTTCAGCTTGGCACATGAAATTCCTACTTTGCAGGATCCGAAGTTAATTATTTAAAATGAAGTGGGCGCATTTTATCATGATCAAGACAGCATACGGTTATTAATGTTTTTATTTTTATTTTGTCTCTGTCATTTTTATATCTTTAGTCTTCTGTAATCATCTATATGAGACCAAACGAACACAGACGAAATGTCAACCGCGAGTTCTTTGAACGCTTTCCCAACATTCAATTGACGCTTACCAAGTTGCGCAGTCTCAAGATGACTATTGTTCAGATTGTTCATAAGGTTGGTTTCGTCT